AAATAACATACCACCAAGAAGTGGAGGGAAGGCCAGAAGGTAAATGGTAATTCATCTTGATCAACTCAACTCTAGGAATTTGTGGGACCCTTTCAGAAGATGCTCCAGTGTGGCTCCATGACTGTCTACCAGCAGCACTAGGCTGTGGTCCTATGATTTAGGTGGGCCCAGCCATGTGTTCTCTCATGTTACAAATGTCCAGGACATGGCCAATGTCTGTCAGTTCTCCTGGCTTAACTGTAAATAGTTGCACTCACTCATGCTGTTTTTCTAGGCTCAGTGGTTTGAAAAGGATAGACCTCAGAGATTAAAAGACCTGAGTTCAATTCAGGGCTCTACTTCTGACAAGCTAGGTCCTAGCTGCTAGGAGCATGTTTCTGACATATAGTGAGTTCCCTGTACATACCAAGCACCCAAGAAATACATTCCCTTTTAAAATCACACCTGAGTTTCTTTGTGCACGCCCATGTCCTGGCCTGTCTGAAGATAATCAGGCCTTTCTTTTCTCCTCCTTTTCTGGCACTCATCTTATATTCCTTTCTCTAGCTTCTCAAATCCAAATCTCATTTGGGACTTGCAGCATCTGATGGAGCCCCTCTGTCTCTTGACCATTCTGAGGAGACACAGTGTCCTCCTCATTCCCTTCTTCCCACTCCCAACCCACACTCACTGTTCAGAAATGGCCAGGAGTGCAAGGGCATGGCTACCAAGGGTGGCAGAGCTGTGGGCCATGAGCATTAGCCATTTTCTAATATAGTAAGGCCAAATCTTAGGGGAAGGTTGAAGTGGAGTTTTAGTAGAGGCCTCACAACCATTTAGTCAGTGAACAAAATTTCTTTAACTTTTAGAATGCAATTGAAGAAAACTTATAAGACAAGCAACCCATTAAGCCTTTAGGAGGTATGAGTTCCATTTTGCCCCACTAAGTTCCTTGCTCTTGTGACTCCAGTCCCTGGTCTGCAGCCAAAAAAGGAAGGGTCAGACACCGCACAGGATTGTTTGACATCATTTATAAAATGGCTGTGGAGCCCTGAATGCTTTGTGATAATACATTTCCCGAAGCTACCTTTGCTTTGTACTGTTTTTTAGGAACGTTTTATTGTTTTGACTGAATGTTATTCTTTTTCTTTTTTTTTTAAAACTATTATAAAGTATTATAAATAGTAGTACATAGGTCTCCTTTTTCTGAATGCTATTTTTTTAAATTTATAGTTGCCATAAAGTTAGTCAGACTCTGGTAACAAATAAGTGCTTCTGAATAGACCCAATGAGGAACATTTTAAGAGGCCATCTTTGGGAACACATTTAGATTCTGATTATTTTTCAGCCATACATTCATGCTTGGAATTATCTCAGCATTCCTCACCTGGAAGAACATTCTGCGAGTGAATGTCTTTGGAGCGCTTTGCTTCCCATTTGGGATAGATGTTGATGGTTTGGGGTTCCTTCAGCTCTCTTCTGAGTAGATGTTTGTACCTGCAAGCATGAAGGTTGGATAGCAAAGCGCTAGGACCAGGATGAATAACTAGGAAAATAATGAATAGTGTTTGTTTACAATTTTATACTAAAAGATAGTTGTTGAAAAGAAAGGTTGTATCATGTGACTGGCTATTAACAGATGAGAGTGCCTTTTCTTAATTCTTGCATCTCACACCAAAGAGTAAGCTCCCAGCTTAGAGATTTGTAGCTGACCCAAGGAGGAAAAGTTCTTTAATGCGAAGGTTGACAGACTTAATTTGCAATAAGGTCTTGACAATTTAGGAGATGGGCCCAAATAACAAGATGAAATTTAATGAAATATGATTTAAACTCTACCCAAAGATTAACAACAAATAGCTCCCCTATTACAAAACCAGAGATGTAGGAATCTGAGTGAACTACAGATGCAGTATGAGTCAACAATGTAGTGTGATTACTAATGTGGTCTTGGCTTTCATCAATAGAAATAGTCTGGAAAGCAGGAGGTGGCTCTATTTTGGTCAGAAGACAGTGAATTAAAGGTGTCCAGGATGAGTAAGAATATGGGAGCCAGATGACCTTAGGAATGACTGGAGAAACTGGATATGTTTAGTTTGAAGAACAGAAGAATTGGGGGTGGGGGTGGTCCCTACAATAATGCAGTGGCTGCTTTCACTCTCTAAAGAGAGATTGCATCTTCTCTGCAATATTCCACAGGGCATGCTTAGAACTAGTGACTGAAGTTAAATAACAGGGTGGATTTGGTTCTATATTAGAAATAATTTTACAATTGATAGAGCTGATGGAAATAAAATTGTGTTTCTTTGCACATTAGTGCACTTGTCTTTAGTCATGTTAAAGCAAATATGTGACTCATTTGCCTCCAGTGGGAAAACAGGCTCCCAGTTTACTTACAGACACCCAGGGAGTTGAGGCAAATTTAACTTTCTCTATAGGTCTATATCTATCTATCTCTATCTATCTATCTATCTATCTATCTATCTATCTATCTATCTATCCTTACTTCATTTAAATCAGTGCTGTTCACAAGGATTTGCACTTATAAAATACCTGGTATTCATTTCATAGATTTTTATTGCTGTGCCAGCAAAAGACCCGAGGGGCAGACATTCTTATTCCTAATCTACGATGATGCCCTGATAAACTGGCAGTTGTTCTTCTCCTGACCTTTACCCCATTGGGCCCAACACTGCAGTCACCACATGTGGACATTGGTGGTATTATTGGCATAGATGATCTCACTGGCCAAATAGCTATATGGTTATAGTAGACATGACCAACTTTTTCTTTCTTACAAAGAAATGGAGTTGAAATGGCAGCTCTCTGACCACTTAGCATAGAGAGAGAAAAATTCTAGAAATGTAGTACATGTTCTGTACCCAAAGCTACGCTGTGTTCTAGTAAAAAGCCTGCTCAGATTGGTCAGAGTCAGAGAGGCAGCCTATTAAAAAAAGAACTGGTGTTGCCTCGGAAAGGGGGGGGGGGGGTAGTCTTATACAGCGAATATAGGCCTAAACCTATGTTTTAACTGTAAAATTAGGGGGTTGTCTTATACACCAGAAAATACGGTATCTCACATGGGAGGGTAAGAGAATGAGAGAACCAAACACCTGATGATGTGGGTATTTGTGTAAGGAACAAGTATATTTTACCTCTGCACTGATATATAACATAGATATAGTCAAGGCATATATCCTCACCAGCAGGCTCCCTTCCTAGTCAATACCCCCATCACCACCTCAGTTAGCCACTAATTTTGACTTGCAGCCCCGTTAATTTGACTTGCAGCCCCTAAAGTATACAATTCTGGTAAAAAAAATTTTTATAAACATAAATGACCTATGATAACAGAGACGAGGTAAGGTTGCTTTCCTTCCATGAACCCCTTTTGAGATCTCTTGTACATAGTATGATGGGAGGTATTTTAAGTAGACAGGGTACACCCAGCACACCATGGACAAATCCCTTGACTTTCTAATGCTCATTCATCTGAGTAGAGGACTTCTTCCTTCTGTGCCTCTCCCCTGCTCTTCCAGAGGTGGAAAGAAACAAGAGAAGGATGTTTGTAAAGCACTTTGGGAAAAGAAAGCTATTTACAGAAGGACTGAAGCCAGGGGTCATGGAAGGGAAATGCAGAGAGTGAGTCAGGGGCCTCTCGGAGGAGGTGGCACTCTAGCTCCATCTTGCAGAAACCCAATGGGTAGACTGAGCGAGTCAGGCTTGGACGGACAGGGTAAGGGGATGCAGATGTTAGGGCCCTATTGTGGTATACCTGCCTATCTTTCAAGAACTCTGTGCTCCACAAGTTATTTAGTTACCTCAGACTAAGTGGTTAGAATAATTTCCTTCAAGGTTTTTGTTTTCTACCTTAGGATGATGAATGACAGTTGTCAAAATCTTCCCATGATCAGTCAGCTGAGGCCACGGTCCAAAACCATGATGGGGAAGCCAGGGGAAGCCAAACCCCTCCATAAGGAACATCCTAAACAGGTTGGAACAGCTTTGCTTGGTGTCGGTAAAAAAGCAGGTTTTAAATTGCTGTATGATCTCATTAAATTGTAGATTTTCTTCCAAGTCGCTGAATTAAAAACGCAGGCAAATCCCTAGTCTTTCTAATGTTTCTGGCTTTGAGTGGGAGGGCTCCTCCCTCCCCAGCCTTTCCCCTGGTCTGAGTGCTGGGTAACAGCCCTTGAGGGGGTGAGTGCTGAGCATGGCAGGAGAGCCTGTTTGCTGCAGAGTCCGATCCTCCCATTTGAAGTAACTGTAGTCAGGAGGCCTTCCTATCCTAAAGTACCTCCCTGTTTTCCTAGATGTGGTCCAAGGGTTGTTTTGGGTATGGCTTGGCCTCAGGGTTTCCTGTTGGATTTTTTTGAAGTGACATGGTTGGTTCCCACCCCAGACCTCCACACTGGACTTTCTGGCGGAGATGGGGAGCAAGAGGAGTGAGTCCAGCAGCTACTGATTTAGGAGATCCAGGCTTAGAACAAAACATACCCGGTTTCAAAGGAAACAGAACCCATAGAGATTATGAAGTATAATTAATGCCAAAGATGTCTTGTGGGGTAGAAAGAAATAATCACAAAACTCAGTTGGTCAAAAGGAATCTCTCATCTTCAAAGAGGTTGGATGGTCTGGCCATTGTAGTCTGACCCAGGCAGAAGGCAAGAGGGAAGGTAGCAGATAAATCCCACAGGAGCTGGCTGGCTGCTGCCCTTCAAACTCAGCACCTCTGGCAACAAACACCTTTGGTCTCAGGAGAAAAGAAAAGTCAGCAAGTGGGAATGGGTTGAGGCATTGGGAAAGCAGCTTGGAGCCCATGCTTCCAGGGCCAGCTCCTCCACTTGGCACAGGCAGAGAGTTCATCTTGGGGCTGCACAGAAGTGGCCAAATTATACATGGGATTCCCCATTTACAGAACTGACCTCCAGCATTTGACATTTGATTTGGGGTAATGGAATAAGCAGTTACAACCAGCATCTCTATGTCCCTTTTGATTTCTACCTGCCTTCTTCTTTCTTCAGGAGGTTGTCAATAACACTGGCATGGAGAATGCTGACTTTGGCTTAAACATATCAGGAATCACCAGAGGCCGTGGAGGAGAAAATGTCCGTCTACAAAAAGTAAGTAGAATTCATGAACCTGACACTGAAAGGGAAAAATCTCCTTTTCTTTAAAAAAGAAAAGAAAAGAAAAGAAAAGAAAAGAAAATGTTATTTCTGTCAAACAGAAAAGTTACTATGTAATGATCAAAGGTTGTCTGTGAGGTGAACTGGGAAGAGCACTGGGTAAAGATTAGAACCCTGGGGTTCTGGTCTGACTCTTCCTTCTAGATAAATGGACGTGAATGAACTGCCCCATCTCTAAGGAGCTCAGTTTCCTCATTTTAAACTTGAGAGGTTTGGAAGAGATGGTTTCTAATGTTCCTTTCAGCTTAAAACTCCATGATTAAAGTAATAAACATTGGCATGTCTGTGCTGCATTATTTAAGAAGTGACCTCATCCTAGCTGGTTTGGCTCTATAGGTAGAGCATCAGCTTGCAGAATGAAGGGTCCCAGGTTTGATTCTGGTCAAGAGCTCATACCTGCATTGCAGGCTGGATCCCTGTTTCTGGGTGGAACTCATGTGGGTGTCAACCAATCGATGTGTCTCTCTCATATCCATTTTTCTTTCTCTTTGTTTCTTCCCCTCCCTTCAATTCTCTCTAAAAATCAATGGAAAAATATCCTTGGATGAGGATTAACAACCACAAAAAATGGGGGCCTCCCACTCATTTTTTTCTGCCTCTTCGTGGTTGTTGATTAGTGGTGTCACCTTTCTCCTCGGAGGTATGCCTTCACCTAGAATGTAATTTCCTGTGAACCATGAAACCTCTCTTGACAGAGAGTTGATCTTGTCCTTGATGAGTATTCTACCTCTTTCATGACGAACCTCATGTCCTTATTTGTAAATAATAGTTTCTCAAACAGAAAAGACTCAAATTGGGTAGATGTAGGCAAAAGGCAGGTAAAACATGTCACTTGGAAATGAAAAGTAGCATCAACACCAAAGTTGTATTTATTAATACACTTAAAGTTGTATTTCTTTAAGTGGCATATTTCTTTTCTTTCTTTGATCAAGTTCTTACTTTCAGTTAACTCTTCTCAGCATACCCAACTCTGGGTTGTGCATGTTTAGAGAGGAAGCTGGGGGCATCTCTTTGGAAATCAAGGGAGCTGTCTCATTGACCTGAACTGACTCCTTTCAGGGCTCAAATACATGAGTGATTGCTGGAGATACAATGTGAATCTGTGTCTCCCATGGAGAAACACGTCCCTGGTCACCTTCACTACTTTCATTGTATTTTCAGCCACTTTGGGGCCTAGAAGTTTTGTGACATTAGTTTATCTCCATTCAAGTTCGTATGAATGGGTGTTTCTGATCAGGTCATAAGGAAGGAACTATTTAACCCAGTCCTTAAGCTTTGGAAGAGTCTTGCTGTAAATTCTCTCATAGCAGAAATGTTCTCAGGATAAAATGTACATGATTTTCTCCCTTGAATTTCAGATGTTTATAAGCTGAATGAGGGTGTATGGCCAGGAGACCGATCTCCAAAATGCATCTCTCATTGCCATGGTAGGGCCCTTAGCTCCAGGATTCCCCAGTCCCCCTTCCAACTTTAATAGACATGTTGCTCTTAAAGGTAATGGCTTTGGAGTCATCCTGCCTAGGTTCAAACCCTGGCTCAGACCTTCCTAGCTGTGTAACCTTGGGCTAGTTGTTTAATCTCTTTATAAATCTCATTTCTTTCAGCCATAAAATGGAAATAATCATAGGGTCACTTTAAATGTCATAATAAATGGAGGGTCTTAGTACAGTGCCCAGCCCACAATAAACACTCAATAAATGCCAACTATAATTATTGTTTATAGTTATTTATATTTATAGTTATATATATAGTTATTTATATATATATAGTTATTTATATATATAGTTATTTATATTTATAGTTATTATTTGTTTTTGCACACAACTTTACTGTTTCTTCTTCCTAGAGGGGAGACAAGGTGGATTTGGAGGGAGTATGAGAGACAGGTATTTGGGTTTGAATCCTGGCCTGAAGCCACTTGTTAGCTGTATGGCACTGGGAAGATCATGGAATTTCCCTTCCTTATTTCCATCTATGAAACTAGGCTACCATATCTGACTAGCAGAAGTGTTATAAGACATAGAAAAAAATCAAAAGTACAGATTTGTAGTTACAAAATAGTCAAAGTATAGAATAGGAAAATAGTCAATAATCTAAATATATAAAAGGCTAATATGCAAAGTGTCCCCTTGGGAGTTCAGCTGGGAGACTGGGAATTTTGGAGACCAGGAGTTCGATTGCTCGCTATGATGTGTGCTGACCATAAGGGGGCAGCATAAAACAAAGGAAGGCCCTGGTTGGCACCTGAAAGGTCCTGAGTGGCCCTGATCGCTGGCCAACCCTAGGGACTCTACCTGTGCATGAATTTTGTGCACTTGGCCTCTAGTATTTTCATAACTATGTATAATGCTACATGGGTACTAAAAATATGGGGGGGCACTTTGTAAAGTATTTGATTGTCTAACCACTATATTATACACCTAAATTAATATAAAATAATATTGAATAGAAATTGTAATTGAAAAATATTTAAAAATTTAAAAAATTAATTAAAAATTGTAAATAATCCTTGCAAGGTAGCTTGCATGCCTGTTTTGTGCCAGGAACTCTACTGAGAAAGTCCATAGTAAATAAGAACTGTCATTACTTTTGTGCCAATGAGTCTTTCCTGTGTGTGTAATGTTCCAAAAGGAGGAGACAGTATGGGGAAATAGACATGTAAGGAAGCAGATGGTATGTGTCAGGAACTGAAAAATGCTTATGAATTTCCACTTAAACCAACTTCATTCTGAAGAATTTATTTACAACTTGTTTTTTTTTCTAGAGTGCCCTCACTTCAGGAAATTACCTTGTTCATTATTAGTGCAGGTTATTTTAAAGCTTCACTTTAAGTTGGGCCTACACACCAAGGAACATTAATGTGTCTTGGTTTAATGATGCTTAGCTATTAAGGATAGTCTTTCCTCAAGTTTTAATGGTGTAAATAAACCATTACTCCCTTTCAGGGCCAAATCATTGACTTCCGAGGGCTGCTCACAGATGCTATCAAAGGAGCAACCAACGAACTTGGCTCAAATAGCTTTGAATGTAACCCAGACCCTGCGGTAAGTGGCTACAATGTGACATTCATCTTGTACTAAACTGCCAAAGTCCAGAAGAACTTTAGAGACATAATTTTGAGTCCAAAGAAACCTTGAGGTTGGGTAGAAGGTCATAATAATCTGCCATCATTTGTGTCACTGTGAATTACCAAGCAATGTTATACCATGAGGTGTTTTGTTCCCATCATCAGGAACGACTGCTGAAACCTCTGAGTGCATTTATTGGCATGAACAGTGAGATGAGAGAACTGGCAACTGTGGTGAGCCGGGTAAGATCAGATATTCAATTCACAATTTACAGAGGTGGATTGGGGCTCCTGGAGCATTGCGGGCTGCTTCTTTTATTAATAACAATAAATATGATCATTTATTTATAAAGTGCCCCCACTTGCAAAGGCACTCATATTGTTTAGAGGCACAATAATGCATGATAAATAAATTATAGAATCATAAAATTACAATATAAAAAGCCCACCATCTCACTATAGAGGCCAAGAAAACCAAAAAGACTTAGAAAGTAAGAGACAGACAGGTGAAAGGTTTTAGGCTGAGCCAAGAGTTAAAGAAAGAAAGCCTCTTAGAGAAAGAGCATGTTTGTATCTTGTTTAAACAGTCAAAGCCTGGAAATAGAGATGTCACGAGTCTGGTGATTTCACAAGTGGGAATTTCCATGAAATACAAACTTAATAGGAAAGAGATTACTATCCAGATTACTGAGCTTTCAAGGCTGCCTACCCCCTAGAATCTAGAGGCAGGGAAGTCTTTTGGTAGATGACAGAAGCTGTGGAATTGGTGGAGCTGGATTTGATGTCTCCTGCTTTTTCTAGCTATGTGTCTTTGGGCAAGTTCCTTGGGAACAGAAGAGATTCTTGAGTTATAGCAGACTTTCTATAACTTCATGGAAGACTGAAATCTAGGCAGGCTCAGACAGATGTTTAAAATGATGCAAAAGGCTGCACCATGACTGAGTAATTCAGGGTCTGCAGTTCTCTCTTTCAGTTCAGCAGTTGTTCACTGCATGTCTACTATGTGTCAGGCATATGCGAGGGCTGGAAATACAAAGATGACCCAACCACACAGTCCTTGCATGCAAGAGTTTCTCATCCCAGGGGAAGGTGGACTTTGAAAGCATAAAGGAAGAGTGTTTTGCGCCAAAGAGAGGGGAAAGTGTTAGGGAACAAGGTATCCAGGAAATAGAGTATAAGACGGATGGTGGGGGACTTTCTGGGCAAAGGTATATACCTGTGAAATTGTATCGATTGAGCAGTGTTTCCAGTGAGCCTTGTAAGATGGAAGGAGTGCTGGGAAATGGGGCTGGAGAGAGAGGCCAGGGATCCTGAGTAAGGGGCCAGTGAACAGGGCCCAGGCTGGAGGACTTGCCTATGGCAGATGGGAAATCTTTCAAAGGTGTCCATTGAGAATGGGGTATTCAAATGTGCTTTGTAGATAGCTTGTTCTTTTGACAGTGTAGTGAATGATATCAAAGAAATGGAGATAGGGAGACCAATTCTGAAGTTATTACTAGTTAAAACTAATGAGAGAGGATTGGGATGCATAATAGAGTAGAGTAAAATATTTTTTATTGTCACAAAAATCAATAGTCTCATTATTTTTTTTGCAAAAGGATAACATGACTAGTGAAGATAGGGTTGTAGAGTGGAAGTGTCCTGAAATGATTCTGTCTGGAATCCTTTCTACAGTACCATGGGAAGCAGTCATCAGCTTCTGAATGCTTACAGAGAGGAGGAGCTCACCACTTCATGAGGTAGCCCTGTTGAGTTCTAACGGATAACACTTGGTTGCTGTATGGAAAACTCCCTTTTGGGAAATTAAACACCTCCATGTGGAACTCAATGTCAACTTTAGAAGAGGGCGAGATCTATGAGTGGCTGGGGGGTATGCAGGTCCAGGCTTTAAATACCTGGTAGGTTCTCCCAAGATCTTGGGTTCCCATCCAGGAACGGATCATTCATATTCTGCATGGCCAGAAACACTTGTATGAATAGTCTCTCTAACCAAAGTCCTTACCTGTGGGTGAAGGAAACTGAGAAGACGGAGGACAGGAGTGGGAGCATAACATCTCACCAGCATTTAAATATAGGTTTTTGTGTTTTTGAGGTTGTGCATGTATTACTTATTTAAAAATTAAATAACTATAAAAATAGTTTCCAGATTGTTGAGTAATCCTCAGAATGAATTTGGAAAGAGGCTTTTTTCTTTCTTTTTCTTTCTTTTTTTTTTTTTAAATGTAACACTCTAGATATTCAGTTTGCCGAGAAAGGCTTTTGAGTGACAGTTCTGAGGCATCTTGTGAAATTGGAATTTGGAAACGGTAAATGAGTTATCAGTAAAAGCTTTCTTAATTGATTAACATAGGTGGCTGCTACAGGGCTCTGCTATGAAAGGGAAAAACTCACTTTTGCGTGGTTGTTGGCTTCCCTGAATTCTGTAGAAGCAATTGCTATTGGTGGAAGTAGGGAGTGATCACTAGGGAAAAAGAGAAATTGGTTTCAGAGGAGCATTATCTCTTTCATGCAACAAATTAAGAAAGTGTCCGCAAGATCAAGGAGCAAGAGAGAGGACAGGCATCAGCTAGGAACTATGTTTCCCAGTAAAAGTGCATGTAATTTGAAGGCATGTTCTGTAGCTTCTTTGATTACGGTCATCAATCAGCCTGGTTTGCTATTAACTGAAGACGGGAATAGGCCATTGTTAGGAGCTCCCCCCCCCCCATATTATATAATCAATGTCATCTTCAGGGAAAATCACTGAATATTCTTATGGCATCCCTTTGGTGAACTAAAATTACAGTGTGCACACATATATATATCTAACATAAACTTTTTATCACCAGCTCTTTATGTCCTATTGTAAGTCAAGTATTCTGTGGCTCCCATGTTTACTGCAGCTGTGGAGGCAAACATTAGTTTTAACAAAATGATCAAATGTGCATTGCAGGACATTTATCTCCATAATCCAAACATAAAGTGGGATGACATTATTGGACTCGATGCAGCCAAGCAGTTAGTCAAAGAAGCTGTGGTGTATCCTATAAGGGTAAGGATGGGAAGCCTCTTGGGGGGTATTTCTATTCATATCCATTGGACAAGCTGATGTTATAACACCCACCAGGGACAGAAGCCCAGGTTGTTTTCTGTCTACAACTTAGCCTTTTTTGCCCCTACGTTGGCAATGCTGGACTACCAAGGCCCAGGTCATCCTAGGCAGTTTGAAATGTTACACGAGGTTTCAAGGCAGGTGTGATAATATTAGATCTAAGACTGAAGCATATCTGACTTGTCAGTTCCTGTAGATTGTTTCAAATTAGTTGGACTCCCTAAAAAATACCATAGTAGAAATATCAAATATCTCCTGTAGAAGAGGGCCACTTATTTTGTTTTCATAGATCTACATTTCCCAACACACACACACACACACACACACACACACACACACACACACACACCCTCTGGCACATTGCTTTGACTGGTTGTAAAGTCTAAACAGCCTCCTCTAGGGCACTGGCCAGAGAGTCAGCCTGTTGTGCTTCTTGCTTGCTCCTGATAAGTCTTTGTACAGAGTGGCTCACTGAACAGGAAGAAAAATAAAAAACAAGACTCTCTATGTTTGGTGATGAGAAGGTCAGTGTATGACAACTTTTGCTATATAACAGAAACACTCTGCAAATGCAGTGCCCTTGAAACAACAATCATTTATCTGTTTGCAGTTCTGTGGGTATGCAGTTTGGAAGGGGCTCAGCTGGGCTGGCTCATCTCTTTTTCAGGTGATATTGGTTGGCCTCACTCACATGTCTGGGGCATTAGCCAGGGTGGTTGCAGAAGATGGAGAGGTTGAGAAATCTGGATAAACGGGACAGCTGAGGCCTCTCCATGTGCCTCCAGCAGGCAATCTGGTCTTGTTCACATGGTGGCAGAGCGTCCCAGACAGAAGCAAGAGAGGGCAGGTCCCAATCTATGAGCATTTCCCATGTCTCTTCTTAGATTCCTCATATCAGCTAGTCTTATGTTTTCAAGTCTCTTCTTATATTTCCTAACGTCCCATCGCCCAAAATCACAAGGCAAAGTCCGGGTTCAAGTGGTAGAGAAATATACTTTGCCTTTTGGGGGAGGGAGCTGTAAATAATTTTCTATAATCTCCTGCAGTCAGATTTACAAATTTTTCCAATAACCTATTTATTTTACCACTGAGCCCATGCAGCCCCTACTTTTTGGATGCTTCTATTCTAATAACATAAAATCAATACATGTGGATTGTGTCCCCTCATTCCCTCCCCCGGCCCTGTGTTAAGATAGATGGGTAAGCAATATACTGGTCCTGAGAATTTGTGAAAGTGTACTCACCATGTTCTCTGAGTGGCTCTAGAACAAGACTTCTGGACAGGCTAGAACATCTCATTGAGGCTTTCTGGGTGTGCTATCTCCATGGTATCATAGGCTCTGTATGTAACGGCATAGAGATTTTGACATTAGCACCAACAAGAAAGTAATAGCTAGTTATAATTTTACTATTATCTTTGCTTCTGGTTGTTTTCTATCATCTCTACCCACCCTCTAGACTGTTTGAATTTGAACTATAGGAGAGACTCACTGAAGTCCATGCACGTCCTATTTGGAGCCCATGTCTCATAATGCTGTCTGCACTGGATGTTCCTGACTTTTATGTCAGGCTTCACCAGTTGTTGTTTTTAAAAATACATTTTTATTGATTTCAGAGAGGAAGAGAGAGGGAGAGAGAGAGTGAAAAACCAATGATAAGAGAATCATCAATCGTCTGCCTCTTGCACGCCCCACACTGGGGCATGTGCCCTGGCCAGGTATTGAACTGTAACCTCCTGATTCATAGGTTGATGCTCTACCACTGAGCTATACCAGCCAGACTCACCACAGTTTTGTGCTTTATTCACATACACCTTTATTTGTTGGTTCTAGTGTTTCTCTTAAAGATCATATCTAAGTCTTCATATAGAACTTGAGGTAGAGGTGACGTGGGGTGGGGAATAATGTTATGCATATAAGAAATAACTATTGTAATGGAGAGAGTACCTACATATGCCTTTCTTTTCATTTAAAAAAAAAAGTTGCTCTTTAAAGCCACATAAATTAAGCCATACTTTTCTTTCAATCATTTGAGAAAGTCAAGTAGGGATATGTAAGATATATACAGAAGCAGCCAGCCTTACTAAACAGAAGACCTGAATCTCAGATTTGGGCTGTGCTTACTCCAGCTTCACCAGCTTGCCTTTGCTAGGGTGTGACTGACATACTTGTACCAAACCTCACCACTCTTCCTTGTTCCCACAGTACCCACAGCTGTTTACAGGAATTCTCTCCCCTTGGAAAGGACTATTGCTCTATGGCCCTCCAGGTAACGAATATTTCTGGTTTGGTCTTGGTATTAAGTGTGCATGAGAGGATGAATGGACTCATCTGTCCTCACATCAGGATATCAGGATGGGATAAACGAGAGCTGGGAACCATCCTTTTTTTTTTTTTGCTTGTGACACTGACTTTTGTCTGCAAGCAGAGAAAGGAAGCTCAAATGCCACTCATACTTTCTCCACCTGTGTCTCTAGGTACAGGAAAGACTTTGCTGGCCAAAGCTGTGGCCACGGAATGCAAAACAACCTTCTTTAACATTTCTGCATCTACCATTGTCAGCAAATGGAGAGGAGATTCAGAAAAACTTGTTCGGGTAGGAATTCTTTATTTTTCTCTAATGTATAATTGACATACAATATCTTATCAGTTTCAGGTGTACATTATAGTGATTCAATATTTATACACATTATGAAATGATTGCCACAATAAGTCTAGTTACCATTTATCACCACACAAAGTTATTACGATATTATTGCCTATATTCCCTATGTTGTCTAGCACACCCCCATGACTTATTTACAATTAGAAGTTTGTACCTCTTAATCCCCTTCACTTATTTCACCTGCCCTGATAACCCTTCCCTTTCTGATAACCAGTAGTTTTTTTCATAGACATAGGAACTCTTGATTTTGTTCTTTTAGAATAAGATCCAGCAAAACACAGTGGTACAAAGTGATGTTACAGCTTACTTGTTTTTAAGTGATTTATATGTTAGGATTTATCCGGGATCTTAATTACCCAAAACCCAGGAGATGGACTGACTATCATATGTAGATATTAATTATGCCCCATCAGCAAAATATGATCTCTCTTCCTTTGGGAATTTGACCGACAGCCCTTTTATGACTCATGCAACTTAAGAATGGAAACTAAAAAAGAAAATTGTCTCTGAAGTGGCCTATGTTTTTCCTTTATTCAAGAAGCATTTATTATTAAGCATGTGCAGTTTATCCAGTTAACATTTATTGAGAGGCTACTACTGTATCCTGGTCCTTAATACTAGGTACTCAAAGGAAGACTCAAGAAACATAAAACTTATTCATTCAGATGCTCTGGGCAACGTTCCTCCATAGTGCTCATAGCTTATAGGTTTTGTTTTTTCTTTCCTTAAGAGACTGCTTCTATCTTTACAATATCTCATTCATGGTCAATGGCATATTTTATATTATAATATTTTACCTTTTGAGAATATGTGTTCATGATTTATGCCTCAATGTAAGGTGGGTCCCTCTCAGAAGTCCTGTTAAACTATTGCACTTTGTAGAATGACTGATAAGTAATTATTACTAAATAAATGTAAATATTATATATTTTCTGATAAGAAATTACTCTAAAATAGTATGCTTAAATTATGTTTTCTTGGATGAATTATTTTCACAATATTTTGGCTTAATTGGAAGGCATAATAGAATATTTTTAAAGGATTGATTTATCAAAAGTAACCTATTATTTACTACTTTTATATTGTTTTCAAATTGGTCTAAATGTGTATGTTTTTATAAATTATCACCCCTTCAAGATTATAATACATGGAAATATATGTTGACATCTTCTATTTCTTTGTTCTTCATCTTGAATCTAACTTACCATATCCAAAGATGGGGCTTGAGGTTAGCTTGTCCTTAATCTAGGGTTCTGTGTGATTCTAGTTAGCTGGATTTTAAGAAGTTAAAATCCAACTAATTAGAATCCTCATCAACCAGATTTTTTTTAAAAGTTCCATTTTTCGCCAAAACCGGTTTGGCTCAGTGTTAGAGCATCGGCCTGCGAACTGAAAGGTCCCAGATTCGATTCCGGTCAAGGGCATGTACCTTGGTTGCGGGCACATCCCCTGTGGGGTGTACGCAAGAGGCAGCTGGTCGAAGTTTCTCTCTCATCGACGTTTCTAGCTCTCTATCTCTCTCCCTTCTTCTCTGTAAAAAAATCAATAAAATATATATGTTAAAAAAAAGTTCAATTTTTCTGTGCCGAGGAACAACAAAACTCGTACAAAATGTCCATAGAATTCGTTGTAGCTTTATCTCCTATCCTGAAAAGTGCTGTTTAGAACTATGAGCACCAGATACTGCAAGATGTTCAAAGGAAGAGTATGTTCTATTCCTGGACAGGACTTAACTTAGACAGAAGAGTAAATTCAGCTATTTTATGAATATTCTCAACAAAGATGAGAACTACATGGATTTTATTGTTTAGTGTTGAATAGGCAGAAAAGACATTTAGCCAGAACTCTTCCTTCTATGTGAGCATTTTTTAAACTAAAAATTTCCTCTGCTTCAGTATTATTTTGTTAGCCTTTTCAGAATGAGAAAATGACTTCTCACCTTACTTTACAATATATTTAAAAAGTAACTAATTTTTTTGGAAAAAATGTACAAAAGGGTATATAGATCCCTAAACCCAGAGGCAACACTGTTATAACATATATGTCTATACCCTTCTATACCTTGCAGAATTTTTTCTTACTTTGGATGTGGTTACACACTGTTATAGGCAGCACATATTCTTTTATACATCTGAATGGTATTTCATTGCATGGGTGTGTCCCAAAACATATTAAATCAGTCTTTTCTTACTGGACATTTAGGTTGTTTCCAATCCCTTGTTATTATGAACAAAGCTACAGTGGATAGTCCTTTCATACACATGACTTTGCATATGTAGTCATGTAGAGCAATTTATTTAAAATAGAATTGCAGGGCCAGAGGGAATGAAGATCACTGATTGCTCAACTCCCTGGTGCAATCAGAGTTGCACCAGCTTACACTTCCACCAATGATGAGTGTGTTTGCTTTCCCACACTTTGGCCAACACTATGAAGTACATAATTCTGAAATATTTGCCATTCTGATAATGAAAGTAATATTTCAGTGCTCAAATATGCATTTCTTCCATTCTAAATGAATTTGAGCATCTTTTTTTTTTTAAAAAAAATAAGTTTTTGAAGAATTTATTTCTCTTTTTTCTCTGTGAAATGCATTTTTATTTTGGATATTCAAAAAAATAATTCAAGAGAAAAACAGATCATCTCGGCTAACCTTGAAGGATCTCACCTTCTATCCTTTCAGAAACTATTTTATTTTCTGAGCTCTTGAAAAGATCTTCATCAGAATCTTGGTCATGCTGTCAAATTCCTTACTATGAAGCTTGCAGATGAAGATGGCCCTTTAGGACCTTTCCCCTAAATCAAAAAAGCATTCCTACTATTCGCTTCTCTTTCTAGGCCAATTAAGAGTGTATTTATAGGGAACCCTTGGGTTATGTTGCTCCCTCCCCTCCTAATGTTTATGCCTCTTAGGAGTTTATGCTATTGAGCAGTTGAGTGGTCTCTTTAGCAAATGCACACACCTGTTGGTGCTTACATCTTTTAACACCCCGTCCCCTCCTCCCATGTTATGATTTAACTTCCTCCCATACTTTTGAAAATTTTAGCCTAATGCTTTTAGAGCACTTACCCAGGATTCTGTATATTCTCTGGCAGTGGAAAGAGCAGTGGCATGGTCTATATTGAAACAGAGGCTCCAGATGTGGTTCTCCTTCCACTTGGATGTTTGGTCTCATCTTGCCCCTTGGTTTCTTTGCACCCTAAGGAGCTCCTTAAGAACATGTATGGTTCTAATAAAGAGTTCTAATACTCAAATTTTCATTGGGAAGATTGCTGCCATTGTGACAAGGAGAAGTTACCTGCTTCTAATAAGGTGGTCTCTATTATTTGCAAAAGCATTGTGATGAGTGTCCCAGCACTGACGTTCTCTCAGTTCATTAGGCTGAGCCAATTGTCATGGTAAAAAGAAAAAAAGGATTCTGTAAAGAAAAATACTTGCGCATAGCATGGACATACCACACACGTGAGCAATTTTCAATTCAGTGCTAGGGAGACATGTAAGGGGTGATCTGCTACTCCTCATAAAAACCACAACCTGGCTTTGTCTAAGTCCTTCCCTTCTTATTCGTTCTATGATGCTTTGCTAGTGCTAAGTGGCATGGAGATTAAATCTCCTCCTCCAATTAAAGAACCTTTGTTGTTTTTTTTGGCCCTTTAGGACCTTTTGCTAAATCTCTGTTGCTTTCTCTATTGCTTTCTCTGATCAACCAGTGAAGAATTGTATATGGTGCTCAAGAGATCGGTTTCCTGTTTGGAAAAAAAAAAAAAAAAAGGTTTAGTTTTTTATACTCTTTCATCACCATCACATCTCCCTTTAGAGCTCTTTATTTTGTTTTTATATGGCTGTTCTTTTGCTGCTTGCTTTCCTGTTCTTGCTCAGTCTATAACATTTTATTCTGGAATGGAACATTTTATTCAACTGGGAGTTGCCTTCAAGTACCTGAGCCTACCAAGCAGCAGTGTTGGGTGGCATGAGAACCCTGTGGAGTAACTTGGGGAGCAGAGAGGGGCAAAATGCCTGTCTTTTTCACCCATGAGTGAAACTCTAGCCTTTCCCAGCAATTCTTCCTCCTGAGACTAGCTTTCTCATTGTCCCTAAAGATTTAGGGATGATCATCAAATGCTTTTACATATTCCACTGCTCTTGTATCCCTATGAAACACATCATTGACAGGGATTCTCAGGGATTGGCTAATGGACTGAAAGCTCAGGAATTGAGTTTTACCTTAAGCTCCTCTCTTTATGATTAGTAACCTTGAGATAACCACTTAATGTCTCTGGATCTAATTTTATCAAGGGACAAATGGAAATAATTGGACCATCCAACCCCATAGGGTATTCTAGGGAGAAATGATTGCAATGATTATAAAGTTGTTGGTGAAAGAACAGAGTGCAGCATAGGTGGTTAATAGTATAGTCATTCTAAGCTTTTGCTCTCTGGGAGCATCTGAGAACTTTAAATATATGGGTTTTAACATGTGGTTGCTTTTCTCCCGCCCAGGTGTTATTTGAACTTGCTCGCTACCATGCCCCCTCCACCATCTTCCTGGACGAGCTGGAGTCGGTGATGAGTCAGAGAGGCACGGCTCCCGGGTAATAGACAGGTTTTTTGTTGTTGTTTTTTTGTCATCACTTCTCCCCTCTTGTAAGTGTGTTTGATGGTCGGAAGCCCATCGACATTTACCAGCAGAATGAGCCTATTAATAAGCCCACAAATTTTCTGTAGACACACGGAAAGGTCTTTAAATTAGGTCCTGTTAACTGAATAGCTGATTTAAGTAGTTTTTATAACCGGAGGAAATGTCATCCTCCCTTCCCCCCTTCCCCACAGAGTGGTTTTCAGGCCTGAAGATCACCCAGTCCCACAGTCCCAGGCTGCCATAACATAACAGTCCTGCTGGCTTAAAATAGCTGCCCATGACCACCTCCTCTGGAGCTAGAGGGGCTACAAAGAGCCAAGTCCCAAGAGGGGCAGGCCTTGACAAGATGTGCAAGGCCGGGGAAGCCACCGTTTCTCTATGACATCAGGATGTGGCTCAGCATGTCTGAATTTAAACATGTCACATATGTTATCTCTAAAGATTAAGTGTCTGCTAATGTCCCCAGCAGGAAAGACTGTTCATTTCTAGTTTACTTCTCAGACTATAATGAGCTGTGTATATGTGTTTTAAGAACACCTTTCTGTCTTGATGGGAGGTATTTTTCTCTGAAACTTTTTACTAAATTTGGCTCCTTTGGCTTGAAAGGAAACAGTTCTCAGGGAAATCTCAACATGACTGCATTTATTGATGGCTTCTAATGGTCTATAATTAAGGTAGAACTAATATTAATAAAGAACAAATAATTAGCTTTTTGGAAATATAACTAGACTATAATTTATGAAATTTTACTCATTGAAAACTGTTTTCCCATTAAGGTCCATGGGACTCTTAGCACTGATTGAAAGGGGATGATTCCATGGCATAGTGGGTGCTGTCAGCCCCAGGCCTGGGCACTGGGCCTCTCTATACAGGACCTGACGGGAGCAGGCTACCACACAGTGGGGACTGGGAACCCAACAGACCCCCTAGTGGTCATTCCCTTTGCAAAGCCCCAGGCTGCCTGGTCTACCTCACCCCAGTGACCTGTGCACTCACTTCACCCTGGGTCCCCACAGCGTTGAGGAGCTAATCTGGAAATTCTTCATCTACTGCCTTGCATGTGCTCCAGGTTTTGTACAGAATGTCTGTTTCCTTGTCTAGAACTTAATTTCTAAACTAGAATTTTCAAATAGTCAGGGAATCAGTGCAGGTGCTTGGAAGACTTCTTGGGTCCTATTATTTTAAAAGAATAATAATTAGAGGCAAATGCTGACTATGTAAGTAACTATATTGTGAGATGGTCCTCTGTCCTAGGAAAGGGTCACATCCTTAAAAGCCACATACCTGGCTTGGGATGCCCCAAGATTCATGCAGAGATGACAAGTTGAATGTCATGTTGTTCAAGACAGGCATTTTTTTTTGTCCTTTATGTCCATCTATTCAACTGAAGAGGAAGGAGAGCCTGTCAGATATGGTCAGTGTTTACTAGTAGAGCCAACCTGGATGTTCAGATCCTGAGGTGAGCTCTTCGTTGGTGGGAAGGTCTTTGGCAGTGGTGATGGGAGCTTGGAGGATGAATTTGCACAGAATATGGCCTCCCATGTCATCACCTTGCCTCTTATTAGAAGAGAGTGAAACAGATTCAGACAAGTAGTTGATCTCTCTTTTTGGACAGTTTAAATCCGTAAATTATACTAAAAGAAACACTTTCTGAGAAAGTTCTTTTATGCCTGCTATATAAAGGGAGAGGATTATTCTCAATTATGTCATTTTATAAAAGGGTAAATAGTATGGCAAGTGGACAGAGCTGGGCTGCATTCAAGCTATCAGAGGCACTGTTTGCCCTTCTGCCATTTTCCAGTTCGCTGCCAATCTTTACCTTTCCTTTCACTATCATCGTTATTTCACTTATATCCTCTCTATTACTGTCTTTGGAAAAATACTACCAAATGGCTTGTTTCCTCTAACTCCAGTATGAGTGGCTCCTGAGAACGAGGCAGGGAAAGGTTAGCAAAGAGAACCTGTTCCACAGCCCCTGAGTCTTTGCTGCCTTGTTATGGAAGCGAAGGCCCTAACCTGGGGAAACTCACCTCCTTTCTCTCTCTAGGGGAGAGCATGAAGGAAGCCTTCGGATGAAGACGGAGCTGCTGGTGCAGATGGATGGGCTGGCTCGTTCGGAAGATCTCGTGTTTGTCTTAGCTGCTTCCAACCTGCCCTGGTAAGAGATGTAACGAGTATGTTTTGAATACATTTTCATGAGCCCCTGAGTACAGACCAAGATACCACATTGGTCACTCTGGGCAAAGCCTTGTTGTTTGGTTCCAGCCCTGGGAGATTAATCAGAAGGCTTTCCTTTTCAAGTCCTCAGTCCTTGCTATCATTACCATGAAAGAATCTGCCTTAATAGAAGGAACACAGGCCAGGCTACCACTGACAACATTTAAAATGGGTATTTTTAAAAGATGTTAAAAATATGAGCTTAAAGACAATTTATTTAGTATGCTTAAACAAGACTTTGACAAAGAACTCTAAAATGCTAAAACCACCAGGACTCAAAAATATTTCAGAAATAATATGCTTTGATTTTTGACAGTATTCAAATTAAACTTTTTTTTTTTAAGTTAGGAAGAAATCTTTTCTTTAATGTTGCACAGTAAATAGGGAAGCTAAACAATCTCTAATTAAAAATATAATCTATTTCCAGAATATTTTATTCAAACTATATCCCAGAGATTTTAAGAACAATTCTAGAAGTGGAATTGGGAAATAAGAGATGTTGACGAGGGAACACCAATATCTACCCGGAGAGTATATTTTTAAAAATAACTATACTCTCTTTATAGTTTTAAGAATATTTTCACCTAGCACGGGAACAGACTGACAAATCTCAGAGGAAAGGGGGTCAGAGTGTGGGAAAGAGATAAACCAAATAATTGATATTCATACTAGAGGCCCAATGCACGAAATTCGTGCAAGAGTAGGCCTTCCTTCCCCTGGCTGCCGGTCCCTCTAACACCCAGGACCTGGGCTTCCTTCAGGCCACCAGCAGCTGGGACCCTGGCTTTCCTGGCAGCCCCAGAAGGTCATCCAGAAAAACATCAGGCCTAATTAGCATATTATACTTTTATTATTATAGATTCATGTAAACCATGGTCATAGAAAATAGCTCATGAGGCCTGGGGTGCAGCTGGTATGATGTGGAAGAGGTCAGGCGGGGGTGGGGGGAGGGACATCTGTAATACTTTCAACAATAAAGATAAATTTTTTAAAATTGATAATAAGCATAATGATATTGGCTATAGCAATGAGAGGGAAAAATGAATATTTTCATGTATATGATTTCTTTAGAGATGCAGGTGAGACATAAGACAGATAAGGAAATGCTGCCTTCCCATGGGCAGAGAGGGACCAAGGTCAAGAGAGGTCAATCCACCCAAAGTCAAGAGCACATTTGCAACAGAGCTCAAACTTGACACTCTAGTGTCATCCCTGTCCTTCCTCTTCTGTTTCCACCTTCAAAGATGCATCTGGGCTCCCAAAGCAGGGGTTACTGAAAAGAAATCACAATGTTTGTGTGTAACCTGTTATTTTAAATATATTCATGACTTAAACCTGTTCCAGTTCCCCTCAGATTTATAAAATGTTCTCTAACATATTAAGGTGATCAGCATTTTACATTTTAAAGATACTGGTTAGTAAAAGACAATATTAAAGTGGGGTCTAAACAGAGAAGTGTCATTTAAATGTGACTGTAGAAATCCTTCAGAGAATCTGTTTCTTCATCCTTTTGAAATGTGGTTGATCATAACACTTTATGTTGTGTGAAAACAGTAACTTCATGCATGGTTCTTGGAAAGTTTATGCCCCCAGGGAGACCTATACATTTTCTAGAGGAAAGTTTATGCTCCCAGTGACACCCAGCACTCTGTTGAGGAAGTTATTGTGCTGCCGCCATTTCCCTAAGCTGATCAGTTTTTGGTAAGCCCCAAGTAAGATGGTTCAGAGGGTAGAAAAAGAAGGAGAAAGTGAAAGAGGAGGAGGAGCTGCTGCTAACAATCAAAAATCAAATAAAAGACATTTAGAAGGACTTTTTTGAAAAAAATTGCCCCTCAAGATGTCAAATGATTAAATACGTACATGTTTTGAAGCCTCGATTCTTTTATATCAGACTAGAGGCCCAGTGCACAAAATTCGTGCATGGGTATGATCCCCAGGCCTAGCCTGAGATCAGGGCCATCTTCCCTGGCTGCCAGCTGCTGGCCCTGTCCATTGCTGCCACCCACCCCCAGTTCTTGATCAGGTGATTGGGGCCTGCAAGCTGGGGAGGGGAGGGACTGAGAGGTCGGCCATTCCTGCCCCCACCCCAGGTCACTCTCTGTGTGTATGGGGCAACCAGCAGGGTGGGGGCCTTGGCCTGGCATTGCCTATGTCCCTCGCCACCCGTCCCCAGTTTCCTGTTTGCCATTGGGCAATTGGAGCCTGACAGCTGGGAGGAGGAGCCAAGAGGTGGTCAATACGCCTCATAGTGACTGGTTGAGAGGTTGTTCTGGTCGTTCTGCTATTAGGGTCAATTTGCATATTACCCTTTTATTATATAGGATTGTTTTGTTATAGCATATCTTGGAACCAATATATTCTTGAGCATTGCTGGGGTCTAAAAAAAGTTTTATATGAAAAATTCCAAACACTAAAGAAGACAAAAAAGCGCAATGAACCCACTGTTGCCTAGTTTTAGTAACAACCTTGCCCAATGACTTCATCTATTTCTACCCCTCTTTGTTTGCTGAATACCTTAAATTACATCCCAGATTGCATCTTTTAAAAATACAGTTTTTTTACATCACCACAATGTATACAGTATACATCTTTTAAAAATACAGTTTTTTTTACATCACCACAATGCTATTTTCACCCTTAACAAAATTAATATTAATTCTTTAATATTACCTAATACTCAGTTTATATTCAGATTTCCCACATTGTTCTAAAAATGTTTTTATAATTATTTACTCTACTGATATCCAAACAAAGCTTGCATTTTGTAATTGGTTGTTCTCTTAAGTCTCTTTTAATTTTGGACAGACCTTCCTTTCCCCTCCTCGAATTTGCCATTGACTTGACTGCCAGGGAGATTGTCTAAACTTTCTGAAGTTGACTCATTGTATTCTCATGATAGTATTTAGCTTCTTTTTCTTACCCCTAAATTACTCTAGACTAAAAGTTAGATTGATTAGAGTCAGGATCAATATAAAATTTTGGCAAACATATAGGTGATACTGTGTACATCATATTGCATTGCATCTAGAGATAGATAATGTCATGTTGTCCAGCTTTGGGTGATGCCAAGATGGATCAGTGGATTCAGCTGTACAGTTCCCATCAATGGTTTTAGTATCCATTGATGACCTTTGCCTGCATCACTTATTTCACTAGGGGTGGGATTCTACTGTTCCTTCTGATAGTTAGGTAGGATTATTCTTTATAATAGAGCTTTCTTTCATCTAATAGGGTTATTTGGTTATCCTGAAATATAGTTCATACTAGAAAAGCAGGATTCTTTTGCTTTTATTTTTAAAGCATATATATTATTGATTTCAGAGAGAAAGGGAGAGAGAGAGAGAGAGAAACATCAATAATAAGAGAGAATCATTGATCGGCTGCTTCTTGCATGCTCCCTACTAGGGATTGAGTCCACAACTTCAGCATGTGCCCTTGCCTGGTATTGAACTCTTTAGTCTGCAGTCCGACGCTCTATCCACTGAGCCAAACCGAGTAGGGGTCTCTTTGATTTTTAGAGTCATGAGTTGGTGTCCTAGCAACCTCTAGTGGTAACCAATGAGCAAAATAGAGATTGTATAGATATAAGTTGCCACATGCTCCACAATTAAACTCAAGGATTTTTAAAAGAACACCATAGAATAACTGAACTTTGTTTACTTACACAAAAGGAAACACATTTTTCTGTATCTTGATTTTTTTCTTAATAAAATATTCTGGATATCTTGCCAAATAAACACAGGAAATTCTTCCTTACTTCCTTTTTAGCTGCATATGTGCCATTTAATGCATACGGTAATTTATCCCAATCACCTAATGATAGGCATTGAGGTTATTCCCACTCTTTTGCTCTTACAAATAGTGCTGCCATGAGTAATGGTGTGCATAGATCACTTTGTGTATTTGCCAGTGTATCTTTGCAGTAGGTTCTTGGAAGTAGAATTGTTGGGTCAAAGGGTTAATGTGCATAAAATTATAGTAGAGATTGCCAAATTTCCCTCTATAGAGGTTGTACATCTTGTATTCCCACTAGTGTCCTGCTTTCATTACTTAACATTATAGTAAGAACATTTCCAATGTCATTAAATAATCCTTGAAAATTGGATTTTGTAATGGCTGCCCAAAATTCCCACTTGTGAATGTACCACAATTTAGTTAATCATTTCTTTCCTGTTGAACATTCACTGAGTGGCCAGATTATTATGATCTCTGAAGGCATAATAATCTGGCCACTCAGTGTATATCCTATATAATAAAAGGCTAATATGCAAATTGTCCTCTTTACCAGGAGTTCGACCAGCAGGCGGGCTGGCCAACTGCCCATATCCCCTCCCCCTGGCCAGGCTGGCTGGACCCTACCCATGCACGAATTCATGCACTGGGCCTCAAACACACACACACACACACACACACACACACACACACACATATATATATATATATGCATATATGCACACACACATTGAGTGGCCAAATTATTATGCATTCAGAGATAATAATTTGGCCACTCAGTGTATATGATATTCCTAACTTTTCTCTATTATAAATAACACTGAAACAAACTCTTTTTGAAAAATATTTGATAAAAATCTGGTTATTATTTTAGAACAGATTTCTAGAAGTAGAATTACTATATCAAAAGGTATACATGTTTTTAAGTTCCTTGCTATATATTGTCCAAGACCTTCTTTAAGAAAGGAGAATATTTTTATCAAGAATATTAAACTTTGTATTGGCTTCAGTCTTAGGTGAGGGAGTAAACTTATCTGATTCAAGCAGTCTGTCCCTCTGGGGGAAATAATTAATCATATCAAACTATGGAAAACCCCAGTCCTAAAATCCCCAAAGAAATTGTGTGGTGTGTGTGTGTGTGTGTGTGCGTATTTTTTTTCCCCAGAGAAGAAGGGAGAAGGATAGAGAGATAGAAACATCAATGATGAC